AATCAATCATGCCTGTGTAATGCAGTCTCCATAAAAACCCAAAAGGACAGGGTTTGGAAAAGCTTCTAGATAGCCAAAAACAGGTTTCCTGGAGGGTGGTGCACCCAGAGAGGGCATGGAAGCTCCTTGCTCCTTCCCATATGCCTTGCCTTGTGCATCTGTTCCATTTGGTTGTTCATCTGTATCCTTTGTAATATCTTTATAATATCTTTTATGATAAGTCAGTAAATATAACTATAACAAATTAACCAAAACCCAAAAATTAACCAAACCCATGGAGGAGGTTGTGGGAGCCTCCATTTATAGCCCATTGGTCAGAAACACACTAAAACCATGTGGGGCTTGTAAATGGCTTCTGAAGTGAGAGGCAGTCTTGAGGGACTGAGCTCTCAACCTGTAGGATCTGAGACTACCTCCAGGTAGACAATGTCAGAGTTGAGGCAAATGAGAGAATACCTAGCTAGTGTCTGCTGGAGAATCTGTAGGATTGCTTTGTGAGGAGAAATCCCCATAAATTGTGGTGACCAGAAGTCACAGAAGTATTCTGCATTTTGTGAGAATATAGTAGGAAAAGCTGAGTTTGTTTTTACCTTTATACTCAGAGAATCAAATGACAAGTTAAACACACAAATCAAGAATCAATTTTCTTAGAGGTACAGGGTCATTTGCACGGTAAATCAAAATAGTCTCTCCTGGCTCTTCATATTAAAATACCAACAGTTCCCAGAACTAGAGTCCATTCCTACATCATCGTGCATGAGGTAGCAACTGAAAGAAGAATTGGTTTATGAAATTCATGCTTAGTTTCTCACAATACAAGATTTGATAATCTTGAAAACAATCACTTTTCCTATTGTTTATCTAATGTGCAATACAGCTCATTACATAAAGTATTTGCAAGCCTGTATATAGAAATACTAGATTTCACTTAAAATTGCATGATTCAAATCCTTATACCAGTTTATTAGAAATTTGAAAATGGCAAACGGTTTAAGGTCTACTTGGAATCCTAAAACTATCAAACAATTCAAATATAAGAAAATTAGCCCTAATAAAAATAATATGACTTCTAAGAAAACACATCAGAAAGTAAATTACAAATGTAAATGGTAGTAGTGAGAGGGAGAGGAAACAATGCCCTTGAGTGGATATGAAAAATTTTTTATTCTTGCTCCCAGCTAACCCAACTCTTATTACTTCATTCATTCAAACATTTACTGAGCACCTAACAGAGATTAAAATAATCATAACACAGTACTCAAGAAGTTCACAATCTTTTGAACTGGAATATGACCTTTAGAAAGTTACTAGAGCACTCCTTGTTTCCTTTTGTCTAAATATGAACAGTAATGTCTATCTTCGTTTCACAAGTGAGGCTCAAAAGGGATGAGAAAGCATCCCATGGTTAAGTGACATATAAAGGTAAAATATGCATTGTGGTTTTTGATTCAGCAAAACAATGTAATACTGGTTTTCCCACCAAGCAAATGAAGAAACTTATTTGAGACATGCCCACCATCTAATCTACTACTTTAGACATTCATTCGTGCCAGATATACCTAAGATACTACATAAGGTCTATCAAATAAATGATTTCAGACCCTAAATTCATTATTCCCATAAGATCATGCTGCAAAAATAAGAGGCAGAGCATGCTTCACACCTGCATTATAGTTTTCACTAATGATAAATCTAAACAAAACTTGTGTCTGATTACTTCATGACACTGAAATACATACAAATGTATCAGAAGATTATTTGAAAAGTGATAACCACCTCCTTTCCTTAGATTACATTGTTTCCAACAGATTAAAAAATATTTCCCTATCAGTGCCAAATCTTAAAATTCCTCCCCAAAAAACATTAAACTGAGGCAGAGGATCACTTGAGCCCAGGAGTTTGAGGTTGCAGTGAGCTATGATAATGCCATTGCACTCTACCTGAGGTGACAGAACAAGACTTTGTCTCAAAAAAAAAAAAAAAAAAATTTATATGCCAGAGGCAAAAAATAAATTTAAACTAAATCACTAATAGATGCATACCACGATATGAAAGCAATTAATTATGCTATTGAGTTTTCATACATAAAGCTTTTATTATATAAAAATGTAATCATAAAACATACCATTCCCAAGTAATTTTCAAAACATACCAAATAAATTTTTAAAAATGAAAATGGAAGAAAGGGTGTCAGAACCATAAATAATATCAACCATGGTATTACAATAAAAAATGATCTGCTGATACAACAGTACTAGCCAAATTCTTTCACAAACATCAATTTTCTAATCACAGAATAAACTAAAGAAATAAAATATATTATCATATTTAGAAGTTGAGAAGTATAAACATTTAACAGATGAATAAACATTTAATGAACTTTTTTGTAGTCAGTTTAAAGCGATGTATTAAAACATGGATGATATTTTACCACAAAGAATTAGCTTACATTTAAAAGCTCTATGACCTACAGCAGTAAGTATATAACTTGTTAGTCTAGAAAGTCAGGAGACCTGGACTAATTCACTATTAGTGATTTACTCACTGTTAGTAAGAGGTGCTCACTAACATTGTGTTACTTGAAGCAGTTAACATGGTCATACTAAAGATCTGATGTTTGCTAAAAGAAAAAGACAATTGAACTACACAGTCTATAGTTCTTGTCTGATAAACACATATCTCATAAGAGTTTCAAAAGACTATAACAGGGCCAGGGCGCAGTGGCTCACGCCTGTAATCCTAGCACTCTGGGAGGCGGAAACGGGAGGATCACTCAAGGTCAGGAGTTCAAGACCAGCCTGAGCAAGAGTGAGACCCCATCTCCACTAAAAATAGAAAGAAATTAGCCAGACAACTAAAAATATATGGAAAAAATTAGTCGGGCATGATGGTGCATGCCTGTAGTCCCAGCTACTTGGGAGGCTGAGGCAGGAGGATTGCTTGAGCCCAGGAATTTGAGGTTGCAGTGAGCTAGGCTGACGCTATAACACTCTAGGTCAGGCAACAGAGCAAGACTCTGTCTGAAAAAAAAATAAAAATTAAAAAAAGACTGTAACATCCCATCACCATCTACTATATTATTTCTATCCTACACAATTTAAATTTTATTTTCTATACTTTGTTATGAACAATCAGTGCTTTACATAAACTGATAAATGTCCTCAAGCTACACTGGTCTCCCTCAGAAATTATAATGTATACACCATTTGAGAATCACTGTTACCTGCCAAATCATAATGAACAAAATGACAATGCTATTCAGATTCTGAATGCACTAGTAATGTTTCACAGTGCCGCTTTACTGAATTACACCAACAGATTACCATGTTTCAGCATTACTCATTTACACCTTTCAGTGAACACAATATTTTACTGGGTATTTGGGGAAAAGCCACTCAAGAAATCTTCTGTTGCAATGGTGAAGGTAAGGAAAAATTGGCAGTCATTTAACACTGCTTTAACAATATGCGATAGCCCTTGCTATTTCTGCTAAATATGAGACCAAAAATCAAATAATAAAGTATAAAAAAGGTAGAAGATATACATTTCTGCAGATATTCTTGTGGTAGTAGGTAAGAATCAATATTTTGTTTTTCAAGCAGAACCTTGGAGGTAAAAAAAAAAAGGAAAAAATAAAAATAAAAAAATATTTTGTTTCAAGACATGCTTTTTCTAAGACAATAACTGAAAAAATTTTAAATTACCATGCTGCAGCAACTGAAGACAGTTTGAATCACCAGAAAAAGTACAGATTTAATAATGTTGTGGTCCTCCAGTAAATGGCCCTTAGTGAAAAGTAACTTTTGCATATTGTTGTCCCAAGTAACTACCACTTCTGAAGAACTTTGTGAATGAAACTCTGGTTAGAAAACTTTGTTAATATATCAAACCTGTTTTTAGAAAAGTCTTAATTTTCAGAGACACAAAAATTAGATTTTTAAATACTTTACCTGTATAATTGATTATACCCTATTTTCAAAGAAATATTTAGATCCATTATTCTCATATAATCTTCACAGAAATTCCTTTGAGTAGCATGGTAAAAACTTCCAGAAATTTGCAGGTAATTTCTCAAAGGCTACATTTTCTTACATAACCAGACCAATGTCACAGGATTATGCATAGCAAGACCAAGATTAAAATCTATGTTTCCCATTATTCCAGAGAGCTAATAACATCAGTAATAAAAATCTGAGCTTAAGAAAAAATATATATTGTCAAAACAAAACCTAACTATATTTTGTATATAGTGAATTGTAACAACAGGATGGTAATTCTTCTGGGGGCATAACTGTATCTTATTAAAAAAACATACCACCCTCCTTGATGGTTAGGTTGTTGATTAGTCACTCTTCACCATCCCAAATCAAGGTGAAAACATATAAGTAAATAAAAAGGGAGTATGAGGAAAGTCAATGTCAAAAAGCCCAGCATAAAAGTTTATGCAGTGACTCATAATTAAGCCCTTAGAACCTATTTATTCTGGTCATCTCACTTCTCACAGTCCTAATAAAAACTGCAATGACAGTTGATGCTACAGACAGACACAAGTAAGCAATAAGAGGTAACAGCGTAAGGGGCAGCGGGGGTTTGAGCAATACTGAAGAGGCAATGAACTACAGGATCTCCCAAGGGCATCAAGTAAACAGACTGATAACCCAAGTCATTGAGATAATTAAGCTGCATTCAGTGAAATCTGTTTAAGAAGGCAGAAACTATATAACACATTGAGAAAAGTTTATCAAAATTATCTTGAGTTTTTCTTGGTACTTACAGTAGTAAGCCTCAGTTACTGGGAAAATTCTCTCATGTTAGTTACATATGCATTCAAAGGTTACACGTTTATTTTATTAATCTATTTTACACAGAATCCCCCAAATATTTTTAAGTTTCATTTAAACATGAAATAATTTTTATTTAAAATGTTGTCAAAATAAAGAGCTATTAATTAGAATTCACTAAGCCACTGAGTTGTTTGGGTTTGGTTCCATGATACAAACCTACTGCAGCATGAAACTGAGATAAAGCATCAGCCAGCTGTCCAGCTGCAAGTAATTTCTTGCCCAATTCAAGATGTTTCTCAACATCTGCATTTACTCCACATTCAGCACCTAAAAACAGATTAAAAGATAATCAGTTAACTTTCCACAAACCAAGATCTAATTCTAAAAAATAAAATGTTTAAAAATATAGTTATCTGGTTCAGTCATCTCCTCAGATGAGAAAAGTCACAGAACCTGAAAATGTAACAAAAAACAAACAGCACTTCATTTAATAGAGTACCAGAAGCTCAAAAACACATCCATTTTGACATAATCAGTCAAAAGCATATAACCAGTCTACAAAACAAAAGTGAAAGTACATAATACAGAAGTAGTAAATATATTTTAAATAAAATTAGAATTGCTTTGTTAAGCTAGAATTTCACCTTAATGAATATTACATAGTCCACCACAATATTCATGTATTTATTGAGCACCTATAACATGCCAGGCACAATTCTAGGTATTTGGGATAAGCGAGCAACAGACAAAAACCCCTGCCCCTCACACCCTCCCAGGCTGGGAGGAGACAGACATGATAAAAAAATAAATTACACAGTAAGTTAGGTACAAAGTACTGTGGCAAACGTTGAGCCCTGTGAGGGAGTCAGCAATATGGGGGAGTGTAGGGACTTACAGTAGTAAACAAGGTGGGAGGAGGGCAGGTTTCCTTGTGAAGCTGGCATCTGAGCAAGGCCTCGAAGAAGTGAGGAACTCACCATACTGACATCTAGGAAAAGAGCTTCTAGGAAGAAGGACCAGCCAGCACAAGGGCTCTAAGTCAGGAACATGCAAATAAGTCCCAGAAACAGCAGGAAGGCCTAGACGGCTGAAGCAGAGCCAACAAGGAGATAGTAGTATGAGGTCAAAAGAAGCAGACATCCTGATTACATACAGCTTTGAACTTTACTCTTACATAAGGAGCTATTGAGGAATCTGGAGTAGAATAACACGACCTAACTGACTGGCTCATTATCAAAGTACTGCCTCTCAGCTCTGAATCCATCCACCAATACCTGCACTGCAATATGGGTTGGAGTTTGTAAGCATTTCTCCTTTGTAGTGAGCACAATGCTTTGTCAGTAAAAGGCACTGAAGGGACATTGCAGGAAGGACAATTTCTGGGTCTGCTTGCTGCATTTTACTTTTTTCTGGCTCCTGCTGCATGGTCTGTCATAGGAAGGACATCTGCTGCATGGTGTATATGGAGAAGACACTGGTGGTACTCTCCCCTCACCACATGCTCAACGGTCCAGTCCCTCAGCCACCTGGCAGCCTTGGCCCAGGCTCTACCTCCCAACAAGGTCACCGTGTGCTGCAGTCTTCACACCCACAGCAGTACCCTTATTCCCCTGTACATAGGCCAACCAGCCCTGGCTCACCTACATGTGAAAGGATTGTTTTCTTTTTGCCCAGTTACTGTGGACCAGCTCTAACACATGCAACTCAGCAAACTTCTCCACCAGCAAACTTGGGCTGCAACTATACCCTTTCCGATAAAGTCTGAACCCCTGCCTGAAGGAGGGGCCCCTCGTCCAAGCTGACCCTTCCTTCGGACTCTCAGCTCTAGAATATCCTTCAGAGTTCTCTTTATATCTTCAGTTACTCTATCATGACTTAACAATTCTTTACATCAAACTTCCTCTTTTAAATGACTGTGTGGTTTCTGCCTCCTGAATGAACTCAGACTGATACACAACTGGTACTGGGAGCAGTCCCAGGAGATAGGCCCATAAAAATGGGATTTGAGGATTGGTTTGGTCATGCCCTTGAGCTGGAGAACAGTACTAAGCTCCTTGCCAATGGGAAGTGAGATGCTAGTAATCCATAGTAGGTACTGGAATCACAATTAATTATGCTATCACTTGTGGTTTACTGGAATAAAGTACTAACTGAAGCACATTTTGGAAGTCAAAATGGCTTCTGCACTTTACTATAATGAAAAAAATTCTGAAAATAAGGACTGTGATGTGGGTGGGTTCTTCTGAGTGCACTAGAGCACCTACAGAGAGAAAATATGCTCACATCTAACTCTCAGCTCAAGTCATGGTCTGAGAGCTGATTTAACTGAAAATCAAATACAAAATTTAATTATGAGCCTTGCTGAATTAAAACAATAGTTAAATTCATGGTCTCATGAAGTTTCTTCTTTGAAAGTTATAGCATAGATTGCGAAAGAATGGGATTCCTTAAATTTGGAATGGGAAAATTTGTTTGGACCCAAATGAAACTGACCAACTTACAGCATCCAAGTCCTTCTGAGCCTCCTGTACCAGAAGTACCCTGTCCTCCCATGTCTTAAGAGACAAGCCTTCCACTGCTTAAAAACCTTATGACAGCCTTACCTAGAGCAGATGCCTTGAAAAAGGATGCTCCTCCTCCTCCTCAAGACCCACCCTAACCACTCCCATTGTCACTAACCCATGTCAAATCTTGGCAGGCTCAAGAGAAACACATATACACTATAAATCAAAGGAAACAGCTTAATACACCAAAAGAATTGTAAGATTCTGGTGATAAATTAGCAGAACCCCACAGAACATGTATGGGAATGGATTCTAAAGGTGCTAGACCAAGAAGGGTGAAATATAACACCACATCAGGTCTAACTCATTGATGTGTGCACACTTAACTAAATCAGAGGTCAGCAAACTGCTTTTGTAAATAAACTTTTACTAGAACACAGCCATGTCTATTAACAAACGGGCCACATTGTCTATAGCTTCTTTCACGCTACGGAATGTAGTAGCTCTGACAAAATCTATATGGGCTGTGAAGCCTAAAATATTTACTATCTGACCCTTCACAGAAAAGGTTTGCCAACTCCTATACTAGAGATCCCACATTCAACATGTTAACTCACACAGATGGAGGTGGCTCTAACAGCTAACTTACTTAGTTGGCTGCTGGAAACTTAGACTCAACAGTGGCCTACATTTAATTAGCCTGAGATTCCAAAGCTTCCCTAGCATGATAAGAGGGAAGGAATGTTGGACTGGATTTATTAAGTGTCACTTATGCACCAAACCCTCAGTTATGTTTCATGAGGAGGCCTAGAAGACGCTACCTTTACTAAGGCATTGAGAAATGTTAGCAAGGGACCACCTATAACCTTTTAAAAACTCTAGGGTCATTCTCCTTTGTAGGACAGGTATTACCATGGGAGGATACCACCACTGAGATGAGCTTACTGATTTCAATAGGGATGATGGGATCCTGAAGTAGCAGAAACTCACATAGTAGCATTTAACCATCAGAGAATAGGTATGCACATCAATTGCAAAAGGCATCTACTATAGAGGAGAATCTTAATAATCAGGTAGATAAAACAACATGCTCTAAGAATGTCGCTCAACTTCCTTCCCCATCATAAACATGCTTGTGCAATGGGTCCATGAACAAAGTGGCCATGGTGGCAGGAATGTAGGATATGAATGGGTTCAAAAGCAGATTAGTCCTTACCAGAGCTGACCTGGCAAAAGCTACTGCTGAGTGTTTAATCCACCAACACTGGAGACCAACGCTGAGTTCCCAATACACCACCATTCCCAGGAGAGTGAGGTGAGGACGGGACAGTCAGTCACGCAGTGGCAAACTGTATTTGGTTCTCTTCCATAATGGATCACATTCTCATATTCTGGATATGAATTTGCCTATAATGCTTCTGTCAGCACCGCCACTCACAGACTCACAGAATGCATTATCCACCATCATAGCATTCCACACAGCACTATATCTCATCAAGGAGCTCAATTCATAGCAACAGAAGTGCACAATGTGTTCATACCTCCCTGCGCCTCCCCCAAATTTCATGGAAGACAATTTGTTCACGGATTTGGAGGAAGGAGTGGGGCGGCAGAGCTCTGTAGACCTAAAGTATACATGGGAGAGAACTGAATAAATCTTGAGAGTAGATCTCTCAAAGAAAGAGTTTAAACTTCAGGTTTGAATACTACCATGTGCTGAAACAGAGAAACGGGGTGGGGGGAACCCCAGTTACAAGGAATGGGCCGGGAAAAGCACTGAAAACAAGGGTAGGGATTTCTTATGTAGATGTCTTCTCCATTTAGTTACCTCTCTCTTCCTGGTACAAAGAGGGAGATACCCTTACAGACAGAGATTTCTTTGAGTCCCATATTTTTGTGGACTCCCACATGTATATGCATACACGTATAATAAAAATGATTTTTTTTTTCTCCTGTTCATGTGTCTTATGTCAATTTAATTCATAGCCCAGCCAAAGAACCTAGAAGGGTAAGAGGAAGCCATTTTCCCTTCCCAGACAGCGTGGCAACCATGAAGAGATCTCACTGGCTAGGAGCCACTCACTCTTGGACAGCTGTAGCTGCAGGATTCTAGAACTCCTAACATAAAGCTGGCCAAAGGTAAGAGTTCTTACCAACTCAGCCTCCTGGATCTCTGACTGCAGGGTTAGGTCAAAGTGAGAGTGGTAAGAATCTCACTGTCTTTTTCCCTTTCTAAATTTAGATTAGCAGAAGAAAACATTTGTATGAACTAGTTCTTGTATAGTAACTCTGGTATGTTTCTGGGGTGTGTGCTCTTGTTTTCTGATCCCTTCCCACCCAGAGAAGGTCACCATTTTCCTTTGTTCTGTCTTTTGTGTCATTTGTCATAAGAAGGAGAATCAAAGGGTAGAACACAGGCATAGTCCTTATCTAAGCCTGTTGTCTGAGAAAGCCTCGAAGACTAGTAAGGTTAGTTCTCACCAGACTGGTGCTGTTTAGACAAATTTTCCTATGGATCCCCAGTACAAATAACCAGATGAGGTTCTCCTTTCATCTTCTTTTATGTCCTGAGAGCTTGGCTTTGTAACAAGTGAGATATTCTCTCTGGTTTCTGCCAGCCAGTGGGTACAAGTGTCGGCTTACATCAGGCAGCCAGCTGAATAGGCTGGGAGCCTGAAACACAAAGTGATAAACAGCATTCTCTTTGTCCCACCATGCCAGCTCTCAGAAGAGTTTGTCTTATAAGAGATCCTAGTCCATAAGGGTGTTTGCTGTCTCAACCTTTGTTGCTTGGTTACTACTGGGAAGCTCCCATCCTAATAGCACTGCCCAGTGTCCCAGATTAGCAGGTACCCAATTTTTCCAAGACTAGAGGTACCCAATATTTCCAAGTGTGACTGCAGACACTGTTCACCAACACTATCCTTACTGCTTGTGGCAAGAAAAGCCTTTGATTTCTTAGGCTATCTCTGGGAGTGAACTTTTCAGATCATAGAGGCTGCTTTTTCTGTAGCTGTTTTGGAACACCACTTGTGTCCATGGTAAAGATTTATTCTAAGCCTTAGAAGTTACCCCTGGGTATTTCCTATCGATATTAGAATAAATATACTATTGAAGATCCTATTCATCAATGGCCAAATGATGGATCCTTTGAATTGGAAAAAACTCCTAGTTTTGAAAAATATTTGAGAGAGGTCTCAACCTAACACCTGTCTTACAGGTACCTATGGGAAGACTAGCAAATGGAGATCCTGGGTTGGAGAAGTTACAGGATTGTCTTAAGAGGATGGCACTGTGGAGATGGAATGGAGATGGGACAATCAGAATCATCAACTGTAGCTGAACAGCAACTGCCTGAAGCTGAGAACCCACCTTTTAAAAGGTCTGTATTTCTGCTTTATTAGAAGGACAATAGCATTTTTAGACAGGAATCACCGTCCTCCTCATTTGCTGGCAAATTAATGAACTCCTCTTTCCTTCTCCTCAAACCACTTGTCCTCGTTCTTGTGATGCAGCCGAACAGAAGACAAGTGCCAAGTTTTTGGTAACAATATCAGACTTAGAACAAAATTTAAAATTCGCATCTACCAGATTCTCCTTCTCTGCCCTCTTAAACTCCCATTTACCCCCAACTCCCTGACCCTGACTATCCAGAAGACCTGTTGGATCTCTGGGCTTCTGCTTTAAACTCCTCTCCACAAAATCCAGCCCTATTTCCTCAGCAAATTCCTGTAGCTCAAGAGAAAAACACTTGGAAGAATTAGTTTGAATTGTCAGGGGTACCCATTCATTATAGATCCTTTCCTTCCCATGGAAAGCTATTGTTTTCCTGTTTGTCTCATTTGTCTATCCTGAGAACTTAGCTTGGCTTTCTACCTGTTGGGGGCAAGTAGGTTATCAGACCTGCATGTACAGGTGGTAAACCAAAAAGTTGGGGCCCCCATGAATATGGCCAGCCAGAAATGTGGGTTACATCCCATCTGTAGCTAGTATACTGACTGCTGGCAACTCAGGAATTTGTCTAAGTCTTTTTTTTTTTTTTTTTTTGCTTTCTTTAGCAGTAGCTCTCAGTCTTGAGAGGGCTGCATTTTTTTGCTCCCTCTTTGGAGATATCTTGTGCATCCATGGTTAAGCCATAAAAGGCTTAATGGTTTGGGTCTTGAGTCATTTAGTAGATATACTTATGGTTTAAAAGTTTGGTTTCTGATATTCAGAGCCTGACAGGAAGGTTTTTTAAAGGCCTTTTCTACTAAGCTAAAATGGAATTGTCTCCTCAAAGAAAATTTATTAAAACATTCCAAAGACACACAGGTCTAAATCTAGAACATAGCAATCTTTTGATTTCCACCATGTTGTTATTTGGAAATCTGCTCATTGATATAAAAAAGCAAACTGAAATAAAGTTGGATGAATGGGTGGGCCCTTTGACATCACTGATGCTGCCATCTCCCCAAACTAAGATTTCAAATTTCCAATCTTCTGACTTGGAACACCAAGAATAAAAACTGCCTTTTTCCTTACACCCTGTAAGTTGAAGCTGGATAACCTGATATGAACTTCTGAGAAATCAACACAACAGCTCACATATGGACAACCTGTGGGCTACTCAGACATTACTACAGACATTCAAACTGCAAAAGATACTTCAAATCCAACATCTGGAAATCTCATCTGGCCACCTACTAGACTCAGAAACTGGTTTCTAGTCTGCTCCAATCATTAACTTTTGTTTTTCTCTTGTTTCCAGAGAAATGACTCTTTATGTGTTATGGGACAATCTACGAATTCCATTTCTGGACTGTGAAACTTCTTGGGAAAGTTTCAGACAGGGGAATGTTGGGGCTCAGGACACACCATCCCTAAATATACCACTTAAGAAATCATCTTGTTCATGTCTTGTTCTCCACTGCATCCCTCACTGCTAGAGCCATGAGTGCATAAATACTTGGTCTATTTTTTATGGATGTTAAATCCTTTTGAATCTCTAAGAATATCAGTTATATTCATTTTTAGATTTTTCTATTTGTGCCACTAATTTTGTCCCCTTAATTCTTATTTAGTGTTAGCTTCTTCAGGAGCTGATTTTATAATCATCTTTGTATTTCACAAGTGCTCATTGCCAATCTTTGAATACTGATTGTGAGAGAAAGGGTGACTGCCTAGATGGAGTCTGAAATCCTCAGAGCCCATTCCTATTCCCTGTATCAAATTTTGGAGCACTCAGAGCACTGCAACCACCTCCATATACTCATAAACATTTAGAGTTCCTAGTATAAAATATAAAAGATTATGCATCAGTAATTATGCATCATGTAAAGTATGTACAGAAATCATGATAAAATTATACTAGAGAATAAACTAGGGATCAAATAAGAACAGTGAAAGTGCTATGTATGGGCTATGGAATGACCCAGCCTTTAAGTTCCAAACTGAAACACTGATATGACATTAGGGACAATTACAAGGGCATGTTGATGGGCATCTGTGTGTTGTCAAAATTCAGGGAGATAGAAGTCTTTGAAATAGCATAATGACTTCAAACACTTTCCTACTATATTTTCTCAAAGAGACAATCAGATTAATATATTTAATAAAGGATTCCCTGAGTAGGGAAGAAAGTGGGTATGAGATAAACCATTGGTCCAAAGAGGAAAATACTTTCTTTATCCATCCATAAAAATGTTTAGCAAGAAAGATATAACATGAAAAGAATTAAGAGCCTACTATATGCTGGATACTTATGCGTCTTAGTTCTCTTAATTTTCACAACAACCTCCAAAAGTAAACATCCTTCATACTTTTATAACTGAGGCTCAAAGGAAACTGAGGCTTATAGAAGTTACCCATTCTTTCCAAGGACTCATAATGACTGTCAAAACACAATCTACTTCTAATAGTTCAGGGTTTTTTTTTTTCTTTTCTTTTTTTTTTTTGTTTTTTTTTGTTTTTTTTTGAGACAGAGTCTCACTCCACTGCCTTGAGTAGAGTGTTATGGCATTAGCCTAGCTCACAGCAACCTCAAACTCCTGGGCTCAAGAGATCCTCCTGCCTCAACCTCCCTAGTAGCTGGGACTATAGGTGCACACCACAACGCCCAGCAAATTTTTCTATTTTTAGTAAAGATGGGGTCTCGCTCTTGCTCAGACTGGTCTCGACCTCCTGAGCTCAAGCAATCCTCCCACCTTGGCCTCTCAGAACGCTAGAATTACAGGCATGAGCCACTGCACCCAGCCCAAAGTTCAGTTTTCTTTTCAGCACAGTTCACAATCCTTTCCCCCATGTAAACCAGGATAAGCTTTCCACAGTTACTAAGTCTTGGATGCTTCAATCATTCAACCCATCATTTATTGTGACATTTTAGCCACAATCATTTCAACCTCACAGGATAAATCTGAAGTCTAGTGGGAGCCAAGCATACATCTACCTACAGTGTTCTTTGAACTACTATGTCAAGTCTTATCATATCCCAGAGGTTGAGTTATACTCTTCAAACTAAATTTCTCTTGCCTTCCAGGATTACAGGAGGTAGCCAGCATTTATCTGTCCCTTCAGAATAAAAATCAATCTTTATTATGTTATCATTTTAACCAATATAATTTCTATTTATATGATAATATCAGTTCCTCTATCAGTTCCTTTATAAAAATTTCCATGATACACCCTAATCATCCAAACAGAATTAATTATTATTCTTTTGGTGCACTTTGGTCACATTTCTATAACAGAAATTGCCACAGTCTAAAAGTTGGTTGTGTAGGCCCTTCTTTCCCCACAAGAGATGTGCCTCCAGAGATGTTCCCAAAAAGAAACTTTTTCCAAAACCAGCTTCCATGCTGCTGTAAGAGCAATCCTTCCAAAATGTATTCTGGCTAAAAATTCTGCAGTGTTTTCATATCACTGGCTAGATTTGATCTAAATCCCTTCAGATATAAAGGCAAATATCCCCCTTCAGAGTGAGGTCCCATGGATGTGGGCCGAGCCTCATCATCTACCATTCCTCTACCTTTTATATTCCTATATCAGAATGAACTGGTTGTATTTCCCTGAACATACTATGTTCTCACACCTCATCCCTTTGCACTTGTTGTTCCATAAAATGGCCTTCCCCATTTGCCCACCTGGAAAATTCTTACTGACCCATCAAGATTTTGCCCTCAGATGCTGGCTCCTTTATGAAACCTTCCCTAACTTTGTTGTGAGAGTTGGAAAAAAAGCTCCTTCTATGGTTCTACTATGCATTGCACCCCCACACTCACAAGTACATGACTTCATTTTGAAATTTCACTATCTCAATACATTGCCTTTCACAGTTTGCCTGTTTCTCATAGCCTCAACCCCACAACACTGATCAAAAGCAAATTTGAGAGCAGGAGCTATCTTCTTCTTTGTCACCTCAGTATCCTGCACATATTGGACACTCAATACTTGTTGAATGAATTTAACTATTTGACTTTTTACTTACATGTATTATAATTTAATAAAATCTTAAATTACATGTATTATAATTTAATAAAACAGAATAAAATCTAAAATACTTAACAATTATCAAATCAAACATGTAACCAATGATTCATAAAGACATATGAAATAAAGACATTTATATTCATATTCAAATGTCTTTATAGTCATAAAGATATTTATTTGAAAAAAACAAATGATTTGCAAATTATCAGCTGATTTTGCAAAATATCAACTCTAATTTGAACCACAGATAATTTTTATTCCTTTGCCACTTGGTCTATAAACATTTTCTAGGAGAAAAGGCAACCAAAGATCATGCCATTTCCCAATCAGTATTAAATAATAGGTTTCTTTTTAGACAAGCATCAATCATAGGTCAGCCAAATAAGCAGGAAGGGCAGGCAAAAAGTATAATAGCTAACTCTGTCTTTCACTGAAGTTACTATTACAAACTGTTATATTTTGGAGAGCAGAAAATAATTTTTTAAAATTTAAAGGTGAGGGGTTAAAAGTAAGATGTCTTAAGAGTCACAATTAAGATTGGAAAAACCAAATTAAAGATGGCAAGAACTGGCAGTCAAAGATACTAAGGTTCGGCCGGGTGCCTGGGAGGCCGAGACGGGTGGATTGCTCAAGATCAGGAGTTCGAAATCAGCCTGAGCAAGAGCAAGACCCCGTCTCTACTATAAATAGAAAAATTAATTGGATAACTAATAAATAAATAAAAAAAATTAGCCGGGCATGGTGGCGCATGCCTGTAGTCCCAGCTACTTGGGAGGCTGAGGCAGTAGGATTGCTTGAGCCCAGGAGTTTGAGATTGCTGTGAGCTAGGCTGATGCCACAGCACTCACTCTAGCCTGGGTAACAAAGCAAGACTCTGTCTCAAAAAAAAAAAAAAAAAAAAAGATACTAAGGTTCAAGTTAAGACCTGGTGGCAGACTCAAACCAGGTAGCAATCCCAGAGATGGTTATTCAGGTTGAAGCGATTAGAATATAAGGACTGAGGAAATTCCTAACATTACTCTGCAAAAGAACACAGGGCTGAATTCAAGACCCTAGCAAGGTGGAGAAGAGTCTGGAAGAAGTCTTGTAGCAAAAACACAAGACAGTGGAATCTGGCCCCAGTAAGGTAGGGCAGGAAGTTCAGCATCTGCTATGATTTGAACGCACCCTCCAAAACCCATGTTGAAATTTAACTGCCATTGTGACGGTATTAAGAAATGAGACCTATAAGAGGTGATTAAATCACTAAGGCTCTGCCCTCACAAATGTGTTAATATAATTATTTTGAGATCAGTTTTCACCATGTGAATTGCTAATAAAAAGGATGGGTTCGATCCATTTTCTGTCTCATGCACATGCTAGCCATTCCACCTTCCACCATGAGACAACACAGCATGAAGGTCTCACCAGATGCCGGCACCATGCTCTTGGACTTCCCAGCCTCCAGAACCATAAGCTAAATAAATTTCTGTTCATTATAAATTTACCAAGAGCCAGGTGGGCTGTGACAGCAGCAGAAAACAGACCAAGACAGTGTCTTAGCAATTACATAGTCAAGCAAAGACCAATGATAAAAGTTCCAATAAAAATACTGAACTGGAGACCTTAGACCTTATAAGCATCTCTTGCTAGTGACCCTGACCAAAAAATAGTTTAGTCTACATAGCCAAACTGAAAGAAAGGGCTGAGTAATTAATGATATACATTTGAACAATGCATCAAAATCTTCATAAGTCAACTAGACAAACAAGATCTAACCAGGTGTCTTAGTCCATTCAGGCTGCTATAAAAAATACCATAGACTGGGTAATTTATAAACAACAGGAATTTGTTGTTCACAGTGCTGGAGGCTAGGAAGTCCAAGATCAAGGTACAAGCACCATTTGGTGTCAAGTGAAGGCTCACTTTCTGCTTCACAGATGGCGCCTTGTTGCTGGATTCACACATGGCAAAAGAAGCAAGCAAGCTGGCTGGAGCCTCTTCTATAAGAGCACAAATCCCATTCTTGAGGGTGAAGCCCTCATGACTTAATCACTCCTCAAAGGCATGACACCTCTTCATATTATCACATTGGGTGTTAGGTTCCAACACATGAATTATCATACATGTTGGGGATACCAACATTCATATCATAGCACCAAGATTGTTTTATGTATTTGCTGCAATCAACTGCGTAGACATAAATGGTGCAATGGGATTTCTTGCTCAAATTTCAACATGGAAAATAAATCCATGCAAAAAACAGCTCAAAAAGTCAATTTTACTCATCCATTTAAAAAATATTTATTGCACATCAACTTCATATCAACATGTTTTAGATACAGAGACAAGGGCCCTTTCCATAAGGCAGAACAAACCAACAAGAAAAATAAATGTGGTAATTCAGACAGCATTAAGTTTTATGAAGAAAATACAAGTA